TCAGTCCTAAGTTCCCTTTTCAGAATCATCAGAAATCATATTTTCTCCCCAAATCCTTGGGACCTGGGCTACCAAGTAAGTTGTGGGAGGACTGCAGGTGGAAATTACACTCCAAGTCCCATGCTCATCTCATCTCCTCTAAATTAAGACATACTTGCTGTAGCTTTTTCATCCAAGGTGGTTGCCGAGAGTAGGAATGGGATAGACGCTTTTGCAGCATAATTTCTCATGTTCTGAGGTAAAGGTCTAAAACATGTCAGTTGTTCACTGGTTGTACACTATTATGCCATGATACCTGGTGTGGGGGGCATGCTCCTGTCTCCCAAAGAACAGAGTTTTTTAAAACAACATATAAATATAGAAAGTATTGGGCCTGTTCTAGCTCTTTCTCTGACAAACTGTATGTGATGTCTGTGAATTTCTGGTGTTGATCAAGGGCACTAGTTAGTTTTTTGTCCAACTGAAAACCAGAGCTACTGTATGGGGAGATAGATAAAGAAGTGATGTAATGGATGGTTGGATCGTTGATGATTTTCATACTGCAGATTGATCTTTTCTGATAGAAAACAGAAGATGCTGAAATCTCCCAGTGTAGCTGTTACTTTTATTTCCATGTAAACAGTCACAATGTTTTTATCTGTTGAAAAGACAATTAATTTCTTTTCCAAACACAGGCTGCTGCAGAATCTGCTGAGGCCCAGACAATTCGTTCTGTTCAGCAAACGTTGGCGTCCACAAATTTGTCTTCCTCCCTTATTCTCAATACTTCTCTTTCTCAACACGCAACGGTATCAGCGTCTCCTCAAACTCTTCAACAGCCTCTTGCCAGAGCAATTGCTCCAAAACCCTTGACCATGAGACTGCCAATGAATCAGATTGTAGCTTCTGTTACCATTGCACCAAACATGCCAACAAACATTGCAGCTCCATTGATAAGCTCTATGGGAACAAATATGGTGGCGACGCCGTCTTCGTCTCAAGTCAGTCCCTCCATGCAAAGCCAGCAGCACCAGATGCAGCAGCTCCAGCAGCAACAGATGCAGCAGATGCAACAGCAGCAACTACATCAACATCAAATGCATCAGCAAATACAACAGCAAATGCAACAGCAGCATTTTCAGCACCACATGCAGCAACATTTGCAGCAGCAGCAGCATCTTCAGCAGCAGATTAATCAACAGCAAATGCAACAGCAACTGCAGCACATACAGCTTCAGCAAATGCAGCAGCAGCAAATGCAGCATATGCAACACCAGTCACAGCCTTCTCCTCAGCAGCATTCCCCAGGAGCCTCGCAGATCACCTCTCCCATCCCTGCCATTGGGAGTCCTCAGCCAGCACCTCAGCAGCACCAGTCACAAATACAATCTCAGACACAGACTCAAGTACTGTCGCAGGTCAGTATTTTCTGAAGATGAATGATCTTGCAACAAGGCTTTGTGTTGATGGAGGGGGTAGGGGTAAAACCATATTTGGCTGAAAACTGTAAATTGTTGATGGTAGTTATGCAGGGATGCATAACAGATCAAATGATCCTCTAAAGTGTCTATTAGATAGGCAATAAAGAACTACAATGTAGCTGTGTATCATCTTTTAGCTGACTATAAATCATTTTGTTTAAAAAAAAGAATAAAAAAAGCTGTGCTCTTTTTCATGTGATGCCTTTTTAATTTATTTAAGCTTTACCTACAATATGTGAATCGACTGGCCTAATAAATACCTGGACCTTATGACTGCAAAATGGCCTTTCAGAGTTATATGCTATAACCCTTCTTTCTCTAAAAGTGAAAAATGCACTTCAAGGCAGTATGAACTCATGAAGCCCTTAAAGCACAGTTGTAACTACCTGTAAAATGATGATTGGATTTCATACAATCATACTTGTATGACATGAGTTAGTTGATGGCATTTTTTGTCATGAAAAAATAGAGTAAGTCACGGATTTTTGCCAAAGCTCTTAATTTTTTTTTTTTCCCTCTCCTAAATGTCTTCAGAAAAACAAATGCAAGTAACTGGACTTAAATGTTTGACCCAACCTTTCACTTCATTTCTCCAAATAAACCTGCCATAGTTTGTAAGAAAATATATATTGACATTTACCCTCTTACGTTAATTCCAATTACAGAACAAATGTGAATATTATATTCTGTGTCGAAGTGATGAGTTTCAGATTTAATACACTGTATTTTTAAAAGGGAAATGCACTTAAATAAAACTGTTATTACAGAAAGCTAAGATGAGAAATGGAAGAGTTTTTAATACGCTGTAAACCCAGTAGAATATTTAAACGAAACTCCACAACCGAATAATCAATGTAAATATTTTCTTTAAAAGTTGTAAGTTTTCATATCATGTGTTGTAAAGTTTTCATAAATGAGGCTTTAATGTAAACACTGGTAACATGAATTATTAATTGCTACATTGCTTATTGTGTTTTTATGCTGTTTTATACTTTTTTATGAGTTATGATAGCAGCAATTAAGTTGTTTGTATTTTGCTTATCTAAAATAAATGCTTTTATCTTGCTATAGAATAAACACATTTCAGTAAAACTGATGAGCCGTAAGTCTTTGATAGAAAACCCAGAAACGTTTCTTTATGCAAATGGTTTCTTGTGCTTTTTTTTTTTTTACTCCTTTGCATTTTTAGCAAACGTGCTGGATAAACAGGTATGGGTTGGAATTGAGGGAGTGTTTGGCTCTTGTATCCACCAAGGTGCAGTGATGAAGAGTCACAGGCAACTTCTCTGAGATTTCTGTGACTTTGGTGAGAGAAGGCAGGTGGTAGAGCCACCAAGCAGTCGTGGTGTCCTGTGTTACATTTACCTGCAGGAGCAGGGGAGCAAACCTGGCTCTCAGCAGTAGTGTTCAGAGATGCAAATCAGCACATATTGTGGTTTTCTTTGTATCTCAGAGTTTCAGATGTAAACACAGCTACTGCTGTGTAAGACCCCAACTCTGACTCAGGCTGGTCCTGAGTTGTCTGACTTTTATTTTCTCATAAAAGTAGAACGTGATGGAGAGGGATGGAGAGGGCAGGTGTTTGATATGAAGGGTTTGGAAACGTTCGCATCCGATGTGTTGTCAGGTTGTTAGTGCTGTTCCTATATTTTTTACTCTGGACAGAAAGAAGAGATCCTTTATTTTCTTCTTTCCCTTCTTTGCCTGCAATATCTGTGCTGTGAGTGCAGCCTGACCACTATCCCCAGTTGTCTGGCATGATTAATTACAGCATCTGTCCTGTCAGAAGCTATAATGAAGAGGTCTTGATAAAAATTGCAAATTACCACTGGCAACAATCTTAAACTGCTTATGATAAAATGAAAATTAAAAACAGCAAGTGTCAAACCTGAGCAGAATCCTAATCTTGTTTGAGGCATGGCTACCATGCTCAGACCACAACCCAAAAATAATGGAATATAGATCCCCCCAAAAAAGTTACAGACAGACTCGAGGGAAGAAGTACTATACCATGTGAGTTTATTCATAACAAATTCAGCTTTCAATATTTCATCATCCTCAGGTACTCTGTTTATTATGTACAAATATTGAACAGCAAGAGATTCTAATTATAAATTTATAGATTTCCTGAAGCAGAAAAAATCATGTATAAATTGAAGCTTTTCATAATAGGTGTTAGTTGACAGCTACCCATGCTCCTAATAGCCTTAGCATGATATCTAATAATGTCTGGGATGGAGAGTGTTTATTCCAGGCATGAGGAATCCTGTCTGCATTAGGAATGGCTGGTTGGGGGAGATTTTGTGTGTGTCAGTTTTAACCAATGTTACATAACAAAGAGAACCATTTTATAGTCGTTTTGAAACCTTTAGACAAATGTCTTCAGAAATAATTGCTAAACTGCATGTGACAGTAATTGTGTATTAGTTCTATAATTGTCATTTTGAAGACCTATGAAGTATCGTTGGAAAAATGTCACTAGTGATAAGAGTTAATTACAACTGAAGTCTGTTTTCAACTATTTGCAGCGAGAAGCAGGTGTTATTACACTCATTAAATGGTTTCATAAATCCTGGGTTTTATCACATTTGATTAAGAGCTGCTGAACTACTGATGTTCAATTCCAGGAAAAATTGTTTTAATTACTGCAGCTAAAAAAAAATATAAATTAATCATCAAGCAGGACTGTACATTTTAAATATCAAAATTTGAATCTTGAAAAACTGGAGCATGCCCCTGCTTGCTACAAAATTATATTTTACATTACCCACAATAGCATATTGCAGAACATCTTGTGTTTCAAACTGTGCAAGTTTGTGTTCATGTTCCCTAAGTCTAAGTGAATAACTGTGCTATCATAGGTCATAAATAAAACTGTTAATTTAAATTGCTTGATATGCAATTTATACAGGGAAAAAATGCAATATCCCTATGATTTCAGTGTCGTGTACACTTTAAAGAATGTTTTCCTTCATAGCATTTACAAGCACTTAACTGCTCCCTTCTTTTCCCAAGGTTTCAGATGCTTTATCACCCCAGTTAACCACATTCTACTTTCACATTAACCCAGGTTGACACATGATGAAAGAACATAAGGAGGTTTAATTTTTAGCTGACACAGGGTCATTAGTTTCTAACTTGGAGAACAAAGCCTTTAAATACCTCTGTGCAACATAATCTCAATTTTATATTCTCACCTGACCATTGTGGTTTGCAGGACAGATGGATTAAATATCTCAAGTTTAACCACAAGTCTTGCACTGACTCTTTTCAATGGGGATTCCTATTTGAATGGCTCCTTTTCCATTTCTCACTTCATGGAGTATTTTGCAGCACTGGACTGCATTCTAACCTTTCCCTCCCCCCTTTGTTTGGCTTTTGTTTTGCAACAGCTGTTATTATCGTTTTTGGTCAGCTGTGATTGCTGGAGGCAAAATAGGACCAGATGGTGTTTTGCTATGCATGAATGGCGAGTTAGAGGAGTTTAGATTGAATAGGCCAAGTTTGAATGGTGTCTATGCACCACCTGCCCTCTTCAGCAGCAGCACACACATCATAGGAGCATGATCTGTCTCAGACCTACTAGAATTGGATGGGAATGGAGAGCGCCTCGTTGGATTTTCTCCATATTTATTGATCTTCCATGCACTAACAGCATAATGCAGTACACAGTCAATTTGAGTTAATTGGATATGACACAGCATGTACATGTAATCTATCACCAGAGTCTCCTGGTACACTTTAGGTTTTTCTGCCACAAGAACATGCAGTATTAGCCTGCATTAATAGGCTAAGTGGATGGAAGTAAAACAGGATCATTGTAGGGTTTGATTTAACAAAATGTACTGTAGTTTTAAAATTATACCCTTGAAACTGCCAGAGATGCAGTTAACTATGAACATTTCTGATTTGATAGACTGGACTGAGTATTTTGGCACAGAACAAAATACATGTCATTCCCATACATTTCTGCAAGGTTTGCTGCTGAAATTTAAATGAACATAGAGAGCAGCATCAACAGGGATGGGCCAGAGCTGTTCAGAAGAGTAGCAAAGGGCTGATTTGGTATCCTAAAACTGGTCAGAGAGGTAGAATTTAAATGTTACATAAATGTAAGATCTGTTGTGTGCTCCGTTAGGGTTGACTGAAAGACATGGGGTTAGGAAGAGCTGTGTCTGGATGTTGCAGAATGAAATACATATGTTATGAATAATGAATAAAATATAGAACAATAATATATAATACAGAAATTGCTTGAATTGTCACTGCAATTGGGTGTTTCAAAGCCTACTTAATATGTAACTGAGGGTTGTGATCGTGCTCTAAGTTGGCAGGAGCTGCTCACTCGGCGTCTTTGTCTGTGGTGTCAGGTAGCTGAGTGAGCTACTTTATTATGAAAATTGCATCCAACTGAAAAAATGCTAAATATTTTCAAGTGCCTGTGGGAAAAGCTAGGTTTGTATTAAAGGATTTGGTTCTTAAAGTCACCAAGAAGTTAATGCTTCTCAGGTGCATCTGAGGGAGAGAATTTTCGATTATAATACTAAAATCTTTCAGAAGTGAATGTATTGCTTTGAATGAGCTGCTCTGACACTTCAATAGGCTACATTGGAGATTTATAATGCATTCTGTTTACCTCAGTTAAAAACCAGAAGTGGTATTTTAAATAGTGGGTTTTGTCCAAGTTCTTGGAGCATTAACATCTTCAGTCCCTACACAAACCAAAGTACTGGAGAGTTTTCTTATAGGGTTTGAAATTAAATTTATTTTAATCTTCTAGGTGAAAAAGGTTGAACAGATAATTATGCTTGTTGTGGTGTAGTTATGTGGACACTTCCTACAGGTATCGTTTATTCTCTTTCCTCTCTGGGAATATCTTTATGGTACAATGACATTTGGTCTGTTATTTTCTCCAAACTGGAGTTGCTACATCATTTTAACTCTGCTGCTCTAATTGTAACGGAAAGGCTTTGATCCAGCAAATCACTTAAAATGAGTGGATAATTCATGTATATAAGTAGTAATTTCATTAAAGTGACTAGTCTTAAGCTGTGTTATACAGTTGCTCAAGTGCTTTCATAGATCAGGGGTCTAATTGCAAAACACTATTTGTTTTCCAAACAGTTCCAAGTATTGATAAGTAGAATCAGAACCTAAAAGTAATACAGCCTATCTTACATCTTCTGCATTTTCTTTTATTATATTACATTCTAAACAAGGCACAGGTCTCATTTTCAAGCACAGATATCTGAACCACACATTAGTGCTGGTTCAATGACTGTGACTCATCATAAATGTGTAAAGAATTAACCACCTGATGGTGAATTGTATCCACAGTCATTTAGATGGGCTGTGCACAGGTCTGAAAACCTCTACCTGCATGAGCAGTCACAGCTCTTGACTGAGCAGATGCCTTAACCAAATATTTGTATTTACAAAACAGAGAAGTAAATGCAGGCAAGCAAAGCACCAGGATGCCTGCTGGCAATATTTTTGAAACCTAAAGGGTGGAGCTACTGCAGGCTGGTTTATTTTAATGCTATATCCCATAGTGGACTGGTAACAAACATATACATTGCATTAGCACAAGGTACATAAATAACAAATCCCCTGTGTTATGATTTTCTCACTGGTGGTTACAGGCACTTAATTTTGGAATTGGTTTTGGTGTTCCATGCATCATGAGAATTGACTATTTATTATATTTAAAAAATTGTAAGTAGCTGTAGCATTTATTTCTTTCTTTCCTCTTCCTAATTTTGGAAGTGCAGAATATTCAATACCTGAAAATACAGAGCTCACTTTGGAAAATTCTGCTCTATCAGCTGTTGATCAGGTAATTCTCACTGCTGCACCAATGTGTGTATAAATATAAACTGATAGTAGTGAGCAATCCATGTATGCATTCCAGCCTCATGTGAAGGTGCCATGCCCTGTGTGCCCATAGCACAGGGCAGGGAGCATTTTGCTGTTGGCTTTGTGATGTGGGATCAAACAGCTGTGGAACTGCACTCTGCCTTCAACCAAATCATATTCCCTGTTCCTCCCAACTTCTTCTCACTTTTCCTGTTCTCCCTTTCCA